AGAAACTAGATAATTAAACCACTTAGAAATGTATGTAAAGTAAAAATAAATAGGCCTTAAGAGCTGGCCACAAGAGCACAGATTCCTTAATTTCCATTTTGGTGTTACAGCAGTCCCACTGCAGACCTCTTAGGTTCATGTCGTGTGCCGGACAGATGAGAGCACCCCATCACTGAGTCCCAAGCAAGTGAGGTGCGATGAAACTTTCATTAGAAGCAAGATACACACACACACAATTTTATTTTCTCACGGGCACTGACCTATTGCACTTAAAAATTTCCACCAAATTCAAAAAATAATTTTATTTCTGAAGAAAGGAAATACTTTAAATACCCATTTAGCATTTTTTACTGTTCTACTAAGAATTTTTTTTCCAATAATGGAATGCATTTTTGGCTCACCCATTGCAAAAGGCTTTGCTACACATTCACATAGACTTGTCACTAATAAATCTTTTCTTAGTAAGAAAATAATAGAACATTAACATAAATTTGAGTTTTAATGTTCTGAAGCCTTGCTGTTTCATGTGTAAAGTGTAAGTCAGAAAAAATTAAAATGAGGTAATATGGTGTACTATGCTTAACCCAGTAAAGGCACAATAAAGGATGGCTATTATTTGAATGTGAATTCAATGGAAATTCCAACAGGTCAACACCAATATTTATTATATAGTTTAAGAAATTGCTTATTGTCATCCTCTCATCTACCCAGTGGGAATTAAAGCTGGCCTGTTAGGCCGTCGGGTGGGATACTGAACATATTCCATCCTCTCACTGAACAGACGGGAAAAGCAGAGGTCCAGGGAGTTTGTAAAACCTGCCCACAGAGAGACAACTACTTCTGTGGCTAAGCCAAGTCTAGGACCAGGGCTCTTTTCATCAATACGAACATCTCTTTCATTTACAAGCCCCCTCACTTACAAAGTGTCTCCTTAGCTCTACGACCTTGTTTATTATACTACATCACTCTGCTTATGGAAATGGCTCCCCCCTCATTTTTTTTTGGCAGCTTGGAGGTAAGGGGGTCCGAACCCTTGACCTTGGTGTTATAACACCGTGCTCTAACCAACTGAGCTAACCCGTCAACCTTCGTCTTGTCATTTTAAAGACTTTTTTTACATTCTCAGACCCGTGTTGCAACAGCTGATTCTATACTGACACTTAAATTAAAAATGTATATACACACACACACACATCTATGTGAACATATGGAAGAAAGAGCAGCAGGTCTCCTGGATCACACAGTGCAGGCTACACACGGGCAGTCACGGAACACAAAGGGGGAAGAGTCTTCCTGTGTGGGTTGCTTTTGACACTCCAATGCTAAAGGGCTCAGAAGGGTTTACACTCTGAAAGAGGCCTGGGAACACTTGGAGGGCACCCTTTACTAAGTCTCATTTTGGGACAGAATGGCAAGCTCGGCCAGCTGCTCATCATGGAATTTTTGCAGTAAATCCTTCAAAGAATGAAGACTGAAGACGATTCATTTCTCCTCCTGGAATTTTTCCTTCTTCTTATGTTTCTTTTTGTAAGGTTACTATATTAAGTTATGGGTATAGGACGTTATAAAAGATGAGGGACATCATGTGAGGAGGGAAATCAGATAATAAACCCAAAAACCTCTGCAGAAATTAAAAATCAGAACTTGGGGGCAGGGTGCGTGGAGACCTTTCTTTTCACAGAGCTGTCACATACAATGCAACTGTCCTCAAAAGCAGGAATGAAAAGAGACACTCAGCTGCGGAACGAAGCTGGGGTCTTGGACTGATAGTTTTTAATGTCTTTAAAATGGAGCTGGCATCAAGTGCCTTTTCCAGAATAGGCTAAGGAAGATAAGTCCAACTTGGTTTTTAAGGTTTCAGTGAGCTCGGCGGCCAGCAGCTCGTGGAGGGACACACCGTCGTGGGAGTATACCCAGTTTTTCCCAGTCCAGTCATAACGCTTGGGCCCACTGGAAGACAAAACAGACACACAGTAAGTTCACGAGGACAGCCCTTTAGAAGAGTCACTGATTCTGCAAACACTGCCACCAAGAAATTGATGAAACTGAAGCTCTAGAAGGTAATACATAATTAGGTATATACACATGATTTCTTGTCTTAGGGTTTTTCTATTTAGGAATAATTATACAATAATTTATCCTCTGAACAATTCACAGAAGGATTCTCAAGTCCTGAAAACATCTGACCCTTATCGATGAGTCTCCAGGTATCACATTCTGATCTCTTGCTTTTCCTGTCTCACATATGATACCTGCTACATTAGAACAGTGTTTTTAAAATCTTGGCCGTTTTTTATGCCACTGACATGATTTGTGACTTACCTACACTATTACTAATTATTGAGGTGAAATTCATATAACATAAAATTAACCATTTAAAAATGAACGATTCAATGGCATTTAGCACCTTCACAATGTTGTGTAACCACTACCTCTATCTAGTTCCAAAATACCTGCACCACCCCAAGAGGAGATACTAATTATTGAGGTGAAATTCATATAACATAAAATTAACCATTTAAAAATGAACGATTCAGTGGCATTTAGCACCTTCACAATGTTGTGTAACCACTACCTCTATCTAGTTCCAAAATACCTGCACCACCCCAAGAGGAGACCCTGTACTCATTAAGGAGTTACAGCCCATTCTTTCCTCTCCCAGCCCTTGGCAACCACCTGTACTATTAACTCAAAAAATATTTTTCTTATTTTAAGTCCATGAAATTGATTGCTCGATGGGCTAACTCATCTCCTGAACACAAACAGCACAGGCACTTCACTCTGGGAATGCTATAATTGTGTGGACAAATTTGTGGCTGGTTTTCACCATGTCTTGCTATACCAGATGCACACAATGTGTGTCCATTAATTCCACCTCCTCATGGCCTAGTGGATAGGCACAGACATGGCAGCAGATGACAATAGTACACGATCATGCCTCGATGGAGGTAAGCGCAGAGCACACGAGAAGGGCACCTGAGTCTACCCAGAGTACTCAGGGAGAGCTTTTTCAGAGACTGAGGCTGGGAGGAGTTTGCCAAGGGGGGAAGCTTGGAAGTGAAGCATCTTTTGGGCTATAAAAGCATCAAGTATTTCTGTATGATCACCCACATGCTGGGGTTTGATCACATTCCCAATAATGGAGATAAAAGGGACAAACCAAACAGACAGGGCCTTTGTTTGAACACAAACCATCTGAGCCATATAAAAAAGACTGGCTCAGCATGTAAAAAGAACCCAGACCAAACCCAGGGCCCTGTTCTCCGACTCTCCCAGCAGTTGCCAGGTAGAACGTGAGTAACCTCCAGGCCCCTCCATGTCACTCCAGGGGCTCTGAGCCCAGGCACTAATGCCCAGGTGTCCTCCAGACCTTTCCTTTAATTCTTCCTACAACATTCTCAGGGTGGGCAAAGTGGCTGGGAAAGGCGGCTGATCGCAAGGACCTGAAAACTTGTCAACTGACAAAAACCAAAAATGAGAAACACAGTCCTATGAGAGATATTTCAGATCAATGTGAAAAACTGAGGAAAAAAAAATTTTTTTTTTTGAGAGACATAGTACCTGTGACAGTAAATGGCTGCTTGGCAAGATTTTCTTCTCAAATTCTCATATGAATTATAGATTAAAAAAAAGGACACTTAGAATTTCCAGATGTTATTATCCAGTGGTATGTGCTTCTGAGCATGGCTGGTCAATGTGCCCAAGTACGATATGAACTCTTCCAGCCCCAAATACGGAGCAAATTCTTTTAGAGGAGCCATCACAGCTGATAGTGACACCCTGCCCAGTGTTCACAAAGCCACTGATCCGCAAAGGCGACTGCTGGATTTGAGCTGATCCACCCAGTTTCTCTCATCGGTTCCTCCAGAGATGAAGAGTAAGAATGCACAGACCTTATGCACGGCCAGGAATAGCGTGACTGAGGCCAAAGAGAACAGACTAATGAGGCCACACAGGTTAAACCCTCCAACCTTAAGTAAACTAACTGGGTCTAAGGAGCAATACAACAATCTGTGAATTAGGTAGGGCCTTACTAGAAGTGCCAGCAATTTCTAGTGTTGTTTTTGCTGAATTCAACCACACTTCCTGGATGAGGTTGGGGTGACGGGGGAATAACACTGTATTTATTCTGAACAAAAAATTACAAATCACAGCATGATAAACAGTGTAATATTAACTGCCTAAAAATGTTGTCTGTGTTAGGGGGCGAGGTAAGATTACAATTTTTAAAAAATGCAGATACCAGTGGGCTTTGAAAGAATTCCATGCTGGGTATTTTTGGGCCTTTCCCAATTCACAGTTCACATGTTCTCTTTGGAAGTGCTAGTGAATGACCCAGGAAAGTCTGTCTGAGAGCTTTTTGTGGGCATCTTTTTTACTTTCTTACAACCACTTCAGCAGCAGCCAGATGGATGAGGGAGTCTCTCCTGCATGTTCTCAGGCTTTGAGATGCAGCACAGCCTTTTATTCCTCTAGGTTTGAGAGCACATCGATGGAAAAGGCAGGAGAGATTAAACACCCCAAGAAGCAATTTAAAACGCTCTTTCACCTCCACAGATGCAACCCAATTCTGCAAAGGGAATTCAACTAACCTTTGGCGGAGACGCTCAAAACAAACTAGAAGGGCTGGCCAGTTAGCTCAGTTGTTAGAGTGTGGTGTTATAACACCAAGGTCAAGGGTTTGGATCCCCGTCCTGGCCAGCCGCCAACCCCCCAAAAACTGGAGGTCAAACTTTAACTTGCTCTGGAGACAAAGTGCAATTTGTTCAGAGGCTGCAGTATCAAGAGTAGCTTAAAGGAAGGACAATGATTTAATACAGAAAAACTGCCTAGGCTGGGTTCTGAAAATTTATTATCTTTTCACTTCAGATCTTGTTAATATCCTAATGCCTGCTTATAGCAGCCGAATTATCAGCACAGAAAAGTTATCTACCTAGAGTAAACTTTCTTAATGAGAATGAGATAGGCTGCAAAACTTCAGGAAAGATTCACTTACACAGACACTAACACAAGAGGTGACACTTCTTAAATGGTCCACAATGTCACCTTTCAAACAAGTTTAACGACACACACTTTGACTTCTGAACATACCTGGATGGAGAAGATAACCAGATTTGCTTGTTTGGGGTCTGCTTGTTGATCACATAGGTTCCTAGATTTCCGCCCAGTTTAATTGTTAAAACACCACTCTAGGGGATCAGGTGGAAAAAAGCATGAAGAAAACAAAGCAAGACAAAGTTAGCGCCTTGTCATCATCGCTTCATATTCGTTCTATCTCAACACTTTCCATTTATACAAGTACACAATATACATCATAAAGAAATGTTTTTAGTATTTAGAAATATGAGGTTGTGCAGAAAGAATATTGCTGTCAGAATCAGAACAGGATTAATCATAATAATGCTACCTCTCGTGCTTTCTCTATTCCCTGTGAGGTCGGCACGGTGAGAATGGTCATGAAGCTTGGAGTGTTAAGTGACTTGTCTGAGGTCTCGGAGCTGGCAAATGGGACTGCTGTCTTGTTGCCCTAAACTACCAACCAGAGCATGCCAGAGGTTGTTAAAAAATACAGACACCAACTCTGTTAGAGTCCCATGTCAGCCCAAACACCAGACACAACAAGTCCATTATGAAAAAAAAAAAAAAAAAAAAAAAAAAGGGAAGGAAAGAAGGAAGTGCTCAAACCGCCTGCTTTGCTTGACAAGCTCCATCTCTGCTGGTAGAAGGCAGAAACTTCGGACTATGTTTATTTCCAAACTCTTCCCACGCATCTAACAAGCTTCTCAGGCACTTTATTTTCCTCTAACGAGTCTTGAATTCTTAAAAAGACTGGTTGGTCCATCTTTGCCCAATAAATGCTCATTTAAATTTGAAAACACTCTTTCCACAAAGGAGCCCTTCAGTCCTAAGGCCTGTGGTCTCTTTAGAATGGGCAGGATCTGAAAGAAATAGCTACGTGGCTAAGTTCCCTGTGTTGGAACTGGTAAGCAGGGGCCGCCTGGCTGTCCCCCAGCCTGTGCAGGACTTGCAGAGACACACGGCGGCCTTTCTCTGTGCATTCTGGAGCCCCTGTCCCATCAAGGGGCCCTAAATGATTCTTACAACACACTTTCCCAAACACAAAGAGCTATATAAATGCTGGACGGCAGTAACAATAACAAGATAACTGATAGGTATGGGATGTCGGGGGTGCCATTGGGTTATTTTTTTTTTGACAACATTTTTTCTGATTAAAAAAGAAATGTATGGAAATGACAGAGACATGGGAATGTAGACAGTATAAGGAAAATGAAAACACTGATAAAAATATTAACTATTTACTCAGTCCCTACTCTGTGCTAAGCACTGTGTTTGGCACTTTGTGTAAATTATTTCCAACCTGACCTTAACCGTGGCAGGTAGGAATCATTATCCCAGCTTTACAGATGAGGAAAACAGAGAATCTGAGTAGTAAAGATTAAATAGTAGTTGCCAGAGCTGATCTTAAGTCCAGGTCTGTCTGGGTCCAAAGACACTCTCCTCTGCATCTGTGAAGCACTCTCCCGAGCCCACTGACCAGTGAAACAAGCTATTCGCTCTCAGCTGTCAGCTGCCAGTTTTTTTGTTTTAATTTTTTTTATTATGGTAAAAAACACATGACATTAAATTTACTATCTTACCATTTTTAAGTGTACAGTTCGGCAGTGTTAAGTATGTTCACACTGTTGTTCAACAGATTTCTAGAACTTTTTCATCTTGCAACACTGAAACTCTATACCCATTAAAAACACTCCTCCCTTCCCAGCCCCTGGCAACCAAGTTTCTACTTTGTTTCTATGATTTTGACGACTTTAGATACTTCGTGTGAGTGGAATCGTAAAGTTTGTGTCCTTTTGTGACTTGGCTGAAGTTTTTAAATGGGCTAGCTTTATACTGTACATAAGTTATTTATTTATTTATAATTTCCTGAAACCCACCTTAACTGTTTTGGTAGGACTACATTTCACCTATTTAAAAATTTCTTAAAACTGCATACTTCAACATCACCACAACCAGAGCACTAATTCCAGAATACTTCCATCTCCTCGGAAAGAAACTCTGCACCCATCAGCAGCCACTCCCCACTCACCCGTCATCCATACAGTTCTGTACCTTATTTTTCCAAGAAATAACAGGCTCAGGGAATCAACACATAATTGTTTCTAATTCAGCCTATCTGTGGCCTGCGGGTGTCCCCACTGTGTGTTGCACCTGGACTGGGAGGCGCACGATCCAGCAGAAAGAGCAGAGGATGTGTATAAAGATGTGGCTTCCAAGCTCAGTCTCATCACTGACGGCTGCGGCCCATCATCTGCCTGCCTCCCTCAGGGACTCAGTGCAAGAACCGAGGGGCTGATATGAGCACTGAGCTGCACACCTGCCCCTGATCACCGTCGTGCCTCAGAACAGAACACCAGATCAGGGACACGCCTACAACCGCTGAAGCCGGAGGCCACTCTTTCTGACCTGATGCCGTCCGACTGACTCCAGAAAACAGGCGACTCTTTCACAATGAGCATGTTAATAAGCAAATGTGAGAGCCCCTCTAGCGCCATAGCTCTCTAGCTGCTTCCTCTATCTGGCACCTTCTTCCCAGGTAAGACCTGAAACTCCTCCGCTCCACGTCCCAGCTTAGGCGCCTCTGGAAGATTTCCCCGATGCCCCTTGGCTGGGTTGGCACCTGCACGTGTCCCCATAGCCTCTCGGTGCTTCCTGCCACCTTGGCACTTTCCTCGGTGCATTTAGAGCTTCCTTTTCACTTGTCCCCTGGCCCTGCCCTCTGCTACCGTAAGCACCTCGAGAGCAGATCTGTCTTTTCGTCCTAGCATCTTCTGTGTCTAGTACCTCCATTTTTTCAGCAAAATACGGGATGGATAGATAGAAAGGTACATTTGTGGATGAACGATGATTGGTCAAATGGTACACTAGGGGATGATGACCAGGTACTGTGATACTGGCTGCCAAAGTGAAGGGCAAGGTTACAAGGCAGACAATCTCAACACTCACCCCCTCCTTCTCCCCCAACCCCCAGTGAGTAATTAGATTTTTTTCCAACAGAGCTTGAAGCTGTTTTTGAAAGAAAGTGGCAAAAGAAAAGAACCTAGCTACCTTATTGATTCACCAGAAGTTCTTCATGCTTTTGGAACTGATTACAAGTAGACCAGATGAAGAAGTCTTTCTACTCATCATTATTATTATTCCTTAGGCAATCTGAGTCTATTTTGGGAGTGTGGGCACACTTAAGTGCAGGGGCGGATAGTCAAAATATTTAGCAGTTGCTGAGACACAGGCACTAACCAGTCAGAACAGACCCTGGCTGGGCTGGTGAAGCTTATGGATTCCTGCTAGTCAGTGGGAGCAAAAGTAGTGATTACTGTTGTCACCAGCTCATTTGTAGAAACAGACACATATGAGGTGGCATGTTGACTTAGGGACTTTACATACATTTGATTTCCCACATTCCTAAAATAGATACTGCCTTCCCCTTAAGGAACAGAATAATGAATATGCAGTACTTTTACCTAGGTCACTTTAATCAATCCTAATAGAAACCTGGAGAGGCAGAGGTTGATGTCACTCACTTCATAGCTGAGGAACCTCTGGCTCACAGCAGTTGGATAATTCACTTAAGGACCCTCTGAAAGAAAATACAAATCCAGGATGCTAAGCCAGATCCTTTGTCTCCATGTCCAATAAGATGCTGCCTGCACGGTCAAGTTGGCAAACACTTTTAAAGTACTGCCCGACACTGCTGCATTTTCTGCTGCTGACAGCAATCACTGAATCCACTTGGGAGACATTTGATCCTTTTCCACCCTGTTGCTCCTTGCTGCCTGCTCCATCATACAGAGTCCCTTCTGTATCCAGTGCTCCCCACCAATATCCAACATCATTTCTTTTCTTTCTTTCTTTTTTTTTTTTCTGGTGGGAACTCCCTAGTCCAAATATCTAACACCGTTTCTATCATTTTAGTCTGACAGATTGCCATAAATAATTCCATGATTAAGTCCAAAATGCACATTTTGTGATATTTCCTGGTATTAATTAATTACTGTCAAGAGGATTAACCTCTGTGGAGGATTTTCTGCCACTGACAAAAAAGAACTACTCTAAGGCCTAAGCAATAATTCTAAATCCAAAGGTGGACCCTTGCTCAAGTCTGCCACCTGGTGACCAGTCAAAAAAGACCAGCACTTCCTGGGCTTGCAGGATCGGGGGCTAATCATTCCAACTCAGAATTTTCCACACCAGCTGCACGTTAAAATCACCTGGGGAGCTTTAACACCCTGGTGCACTGCCCAAGCCACATCCCAGACCAATTAAATAAAAATCTCTAGGGGTGGGACCCAAGGATGCACATTAGAATCCCGGCTGAGCCTTTCAAAAATTTGCTTCCTAAGAATACACCCTGACCTACTGCATCAGAATCACCTAGGAGTAGGGCCCATGCCTCTTTAGTCTGAATAACTCTTGGGCAGTGATCTTCTCCTTGCTTAAGAACTAGTGGTCCAGTTCAGTGTTCACCATGTGCTGTGGATTGAATGTACCCCCTTGAAGGGAAAGTAAAAGAAAATAGTCAGGGATCCCACAGATGTTCTGAATCTTGCCAAGCAAGTGTTCCTTGGTTATTATCTAATGTAAATATGCACGTGCACCCAGGTGTTCCCAGGTTGTTTGACTTGCACCCAGGTGTCCTGGGTTATTGGACTTAAGTATAAAGGACAAATGGTTCTGATCCACAGAGCCCCCCACCCCCAGGATGCCATGGGGAGGCCACTACTGCTGCTAGAGGCTGTTGCTGCCAGCTCTTGCTGCCAGGGTTCCTGGGACCCTCCAGGAGGCCACTGCCACTGCTGCTGCTGCTGAGGAAGCTGAGGACTGAGCTCCTGTCGTCTGCCAACAGCTCCCAGGATTTTTCCCAATTACCTACCTTGTGGAACTGTACGTGAGGGGTCTGGTGACCCATCCTGTATATCAGGGGTCTGTGACCCAGTCTGTACGGCGGGTTAGAAGGGTCTGTGAGCCCTAGCCCTAGCAATACAATTGGCTGTGTTGGCAGGATTCTGACAATTGCCCTAGCAATACACCCCCAAACTCACTGAAGCTTAAATTGTGTCCTCCAAAGTTCCAGGTATTGGAAACTTGGCCCTGACTGTTATTGTTGAGGGTGGGAAATCCTATGATGGTAATTGAAAGCTGGGATCTTGAAGAGGTGATTATGAGGGGTCTGGTGACCCATCCTGTATATCAGGGGTCTGTGACCCAGTCTGTACGGCGGGTTTGAAGGGTCTGTGAGCCCTAGACCTAGCAATACAATTGGCTGTGTTGGCAGGATTCTGACAATTGCCCTAGCAATACACCCCCAAACTCACTGAAGCTTAAATTGTGTCCTTCAAATTTCCAGGTATTGGAAACTTGGCCCTGACTGTTATTGCTGAGGGTGGGAAATCCTATGATGGTAATTGAAAGCTGGGATCTTGAAGAGGTGATTGGATTAATAATGGTGGTCAGGGCATGGTTCTGAG